GATTTTGGGCTCCGCAGAAGGTAGAAGAACTATGGACTTTTCATCTTTGATGAATAAGTGTTCTTGAATTTATCATGCCAAGTCTTATGATCAAACTGCCACAGTCTCCCTAATAAGATGTGACAATTTTCCATAGGTGTAACATTACACCACATCTGGTCATGTAACTGATCCCCAATAGATAATTTACGAGATATCTTTTGTCAATGCAAACCCTATTCCCCTTCTTCAAGCGAGTCAGGGAATATGACTGGGAATATCTCCGAATTGTGAGACTCAACTTATCCACCAAACCTGTAGACACCACATTTTTACAATTGCCTCCATCGATGATAAGACCGTACACCTTTTCCTTCACAGTGCAACATTTAAAAAGAAATTATGTTGAAACCACTATTGCTCTCTCATAGACTCAGTTTGAAGGACTCCTTGAACCTCAAGCAGCTCGCCCTTATCAGTTGGAAGCTGTCACTTTTGCACATCCTCACTATCTTCTATGTATCCAATGCCACTGTCCACTTCTTTTATGGCTCCTTGCTCAAGGAAAGAGACAACTATGGTATTTGGGTAACTGGAGGCTATTTGTCTAACTCATGACATCTGAAACACTTCCTTGTAGCTTCTTTGCTGGGTGTCATGCTCCTCTTGGGCTTCTTCCTAGTGTGATAATCTATCATTTTTCTGGACAGTTTTTACACCTTCCTCAAGTGTACTCCTAGCTCCTCCTTCAATGGGTGAATATTTGAATGACGACGGGGCCTTGATCTGCTTATGCAGTTCCTAAATCTTTAGAGCCAATGTTTGAACATCACTTAATGACTAGTAAGGCTATAACTGAACGATATGGCTGATGACTGACTTAAGCCTCCTACATATCTGACTATGATGTTCTTCTTTGGCTCTCACAACTCACATTTCAGTATGAGTTGCTTAAACTCTGCTATGAACTCTCTACTGATAACTCTTCTTGATGTAAGTGATGTAGCCTCAAGGACATGTCCTGGCGATAGTCTTGAGGTAAATATTTCTCTTGCATCTCCTTCATCTTCTCCCAAGTGGTGATATTGTTTCTACTTTCTCTTTGTCTCACTCTTCATGTTCTCCCACTATAAAGAAACACTCTTCTTTAGCTTTTTGGCAGCAAGTTTAACTCTCTTATGAGCTGACACCTCTGTATACTAAACAATCATCTCAACAGTCTGCAACCACTCAATGAGGTTATCCAGATTCATTCTTCCTTCAAAATCTTGCAGCTATACTTTTACTACCATATCTCCATGTTCTCGAAAAGTCAATCCATTTTTCGGCCACCTATGATACTAAATCCCAAAGCACCATGGCCTATCATCTTATTCACTGGAATCATCCTTTTGAAGGGATTCATATTTTCTTCTCTTTCTCCTCTTCGAATCTCCCTATCATGATCGACGATGATCTTTTCATGGGACCCTTCCTCAATTTCAGCAAGTCTTTGCTGAAGTCGGCTAATTTCTTGTAGTATCTCTTCCATGGTAAGTTGTCGACCGGCTTCTGACACTTGTCTTCTCGGTGGTATGACGAGGCTTAGGTTTGAGAGGTTAAGGAGGGTGTATGGGGCTGATTTAGGGTGCATAAAAAAAGTAGCTTTGCTTATCTTGAAAATCAGTAAAGAAAATTAGGATTAGATGAATGTTTGACTATTATTTTGTTGGTTATGAAACTAGGATTGGGATAGCTTTGATACTAAATGATACTGAAATTTAACAAACACCAAGAGAAAATAAATATTATTATTGAAATCAAAATATGAAATTGCAAAAATAATAGGGAAACATGAAATTGCAGCAAAATTCAACACAACACGAGAACAAGGGTTGGATCTAGTGTGTAGGTGGTGTCGGGTAGAATTTGGATCTTCGAGGTGGTGGAAGGAGATAATTGGCAAGCAGCAAACAACAAGATGATTGTATTCAAATGTCTGGACACTAGGATGACAATAGGAACAATTACGACTGGGGCAGTTCTGGGTGGCAGCATCAGAGAGGAAGGTGAGGACAACAAACTGTGAGGGAAATGTGGAAGCAATGTAGGAAAGAATGGGAGACAATATAGTAGGGATAAACACCACCTTGAAACCAAGAACTGAAGCACCACTTGCCTAGGATTCAACTTGTAGAGGTAAAAGGAGACACTGACAACTGTCTCAAATCATATCACAACAACAACTAACCCTAAACATTGACAAAAATAATATATAGTCCTAGTAACTAGGAATTGGGTGCCACTTCAATTGGGCGACTCTCCCAAGCTAGCTAGAGGGCCGATCGGTCCTCAAGAAACCTGGACCGAACCAGTCTAGATTCATAAGTCCACACCATATTTATTGATAAGAATGCCTTCTTGGCTAGCAATGGTCATCAATGATCCATAGGTAATAATTATTTTTTGTTGTTAGGATAAATAATATATGAAGTAAGTTTGTGTGATGATTTGGTTTTATGGATTAGTTTTTGAATCAATAATATAGTTGTTAGGATTTGGTACAGACTTTTTAAATGTATTAGAAGATGATATAATACCGTAGAATGTAAGATAACAATTACTTTTGTAAGTCTTTTCTAGTGACACCGATTAATTATTTTAATTTTCTATTTCTTCTTTATAGAACTCTATTGGTAACTCTTTAGTGTTACCTTTTGCTCTTATTTTACATATGAATGTCTATTTTTTTTGGCTATTTTTCTAATGTTGTCTAGTTTTTTTGTAATGGCATGTCATGAAGTTTCTGGCATAATTTTAATGTGTCGAGCTTTTTTGCAATGTTTACAATATAGAGGGTCTCTATGGACCATCTTTGTTGGGTGTGATTGCTTGTGCTCCTTGGAAGAATGAGTTTTGAATCATGGTGTTTGGTGTCATTAGTGTTTGTTATCGGGGTCAAACCTTCTATGGGGTTATTGACAGTCATAACTCTCATTCTCTTTTCTTCCTTTTGAATGATGGTAATGACTTCCATTAGGGATGGTAAATATTTTTTTATTGAGAATTTGTAATGTTGCAACTTAAATCTCAACATTTAATTCCGCAAAAAGGAATAAAAAATCATTTATTAGGTCTCCTTCAATAAATCTTTTAAAGAGGCTGCATCTTTACCTCATTCCATTTGGTTGTGCTAGTAATGATGCATCTTTTACCAAAGGCCTTATATTAAATTGATGTATTGTGTGATGGATTATGTTACTTGCTTTGTGGCCAAGTTTTTAAGTTTTGATCTCAGAGGTTTGCGCTGCATCATATAATTTAAAATAAATATGAATTATTGTATTCTTAAATTTTTTTTCTGAATGAAGGAACACGCCAATGCCATATATTTTAGAAGCCATGGAGTTCTATAATTTAGATATCATCGTTAAGTCTTGTTTAGCTCAAGTATGGTATGCGGGATCACTTTGTTGAGGCCTGATACCAACAACATGAGCCAAATTTTCTCTTCTTTCCGAGATGGTGCAAATCAATTGTGATTAACTAAGATATTTCCTTTCATTCAAACAATATGTTGAATGAATATCTTGAATATCTCCTGTGGATTTGGGCTGCCTTTATTGTTTCACTTGAAACTAAGAACATGGGAACATGAGTATTTTATGATTCATGAAAAAAAAAAGTTCCGTAGTAAATTGTTGTAAAGAGAAACATTGATAGATATAAGGCTCTATTTATGAAGGCTACCAATGAGAAGATATGGTGGAACAAAAAGAGACTTGAAGTAATGAAGGTTTGAAGCAATGCATGTATAAAGGCTGCTGCTGATATAATTGCTAAGAAAAAAAAGTAAAATCTGTTATATTTATTCCAAAGTCTACGTAATATTTATATAATTTTAGAGGAGCTTTTAGTAGGAAATGTACAAAATTGGGAAGAATAATTACGATAGTTTTTAGATTGTTAAGTAGGCAGAATAATTAGTACAAAATAACTACTAGTTCATGGATTGATGAGGTGGCAGTGCCGATCACATGGATCATTAAGATGGCATGATATGAATAAGGAAGGCGAAGGATTGCTGGGCTTGATAGAATATTAATGGAGGCGAAGCTAACGATGATTGATATTTTGATAGTTTGAAATAAGGGAATTTCTTAGGAATATATTGCAATAACATAGCACTACAGAGTCGTACAGGTAAATTTAACATAAACGCATTTAGACTATGTTATGTGATTTCTTTTTCAGGGTAGCTAAGAAATATTTATAACTAAACTGATGGCGGTAGTAATTGGAATGCTACATATGTGGTTAGATTAGGATGGGTATAGGAAGACATAATTATATTCATGATGTGGTGTAGGTTATCTTTGTTGAAGATAAGGTAATGATAAATACGCTTGGCGATTTGGGCATGGATAATTAAGAATGTATAATTAAGGGCATATGACACATCAATAAAACAAGTTAAATAGAATTGATATCGAAGAATCATAAATAAAACAAATAGATTAAAGAGAACATTGAACTGGTTAAAAATATGCGAAATATAATTAATAGCTCATCTAGAACTAAACTGAAATTAAAGAAGATAATTCATGGAGTTAATGATAAACAGTTGGAATTGTGCCAATGATAATGATGAACGCAATGGAAATCAGACGACTTTACTGTTTTTTGATTCATCAATGAAAATCTTATATTATCTCTCTTGTTTTTCAAGGAATAATGGTTTTTCCCTTCATTGGAAATAATCATGAAGATCAGACAGTTAAATGAAAATCTTTATTGCTTTAATCTGTCTTCTGTGCGCTTTTAATGAAGAATTTATGTTTTTTTGGTTCTCTCGTTCAATCAATTGTAAATTTTAGCTTAAGAAACTAGCACGTCGTGTTTAAACTTGGTCTTGTTTGTTGATTATTATGTCTATTTTCTTTCTTTTTAGTTGCATTTAAACTGCTGATTTGTTGAATGCATGATAATCTTAATGCAGCTTTTGGATAATTGCTTTTGTAACTTTTAATTTTTTTCTACAGTTTCTGAGGAGACTTGCATCGAGGTTGAGAGCTTGGTTTTTGATCTTTTTGCAAACCTTGGTGCTACAGGTGCAATTATGATTTGTTATTGTATTTTATGAAGACATGTCAGAGATGTTTCTGTTTGAAGTTAATTTCTGAAATGACTTTTTTGAGTTTGGTTTCACAGAAGAACAACTGGATTTTCCCGTACTTTATGCTTCAGCCAAAGAGGGATGGGCTTCTTTGACATATACTAAAACCCCTGCTGATGATAATAGAAATATGTCAGCTTTGCTGAATTCCATTATACAGCATGTCCCTTCTCCCTCTGCAAATTTGGATGCTCCTTTCCAAATGTTGGTCAGTGTAGCTTTTTTGATATAATCACATATATGAGATTATACGCCTACGATATTGCTTTGTATAGTAATATTCACATCGATATTTTTGTTTAGAAATTTTCGTTAAGGTCTAGAATGGTTTGTTTAATCTATATTTTTCATTTTTTTGGGGATATGAAATTAATGATTGTTGTACTACTTATATGATGATTTCTGTTTGAAATAGTAAATTTGTGACAATCCAAATTCTCATCCATCAAGGTATTGCCCGCTTTGGCTTGGAGGCCTCACGATTTTGCCCCGTTAGTGTAACTTCTTAGGAGGTCACCCATCCCAGGAGTGCTCCACGACGAGCACACTTAAGTTTGGAGTTTCTAATGAAATTCCACCGTTACACCAAAATGTCTCTCGATGTTTAAGAGTCGGCTTCAATCTATTTTAGGGATTTTACAAAATTTTAGTTCCAATTTGAAGATTGAGCCATGTTGCAAGTTAGTTTCACACTTTGTTCAGGTTTATTTCTGATTTCAATTTTAAACTCTTGCTGGATATCGTTAATGTCATATTCAATTTTTAGTTTTGTTGATTTTTATCTAGTAAATATTAAAGAAGGCATTGACCAGCATCGTTAGAGTTGTCCTTACAGCTGGTATTTATATAATACCCTGGTCTGTAAAGCATCTTTGATCTGCTTCTGAACACTTTTATAGATAGATAATTTTCTCATTACTTATATGAACCTTTTTATTTGGCAATTTATTTGTTTTGATTTTATGTGCTTGCATAGTTGTCCTTTTGTTCTCGTCTAGTCATGGATTTTATTTTCTCTTTCTTTTCTCTTCTTTCTTCATTTATGCAGGTTTCTATGATGGAGCGTGATTTTTATCTTGGCAGAATATTAACTGGACGTGTATCATCAGGGGTAATACGAGTGGGAGATAGGATACATGGGCTCCGAAGCACAAATGGAGTTGAGAAAATTGAAGAAGGCAAGGTTCGTCAGCTTGGTTTATTGCTTATTATGAAGCATTTTATGATTAAGTCTAAGCAGGTGTTAACTGTTAATGAAAATTGAATGAGCCAGTGCTGTACACACAATGACACGTTCATGTTCTCACAAATATTGAAGCTCTTTATTAGATGGAGCTGTTGCTCTAAGATCTGGCTTCAACGATCTCCTTTTTTACTCTTCAAAATTGCTAGTTTTTTGAAGTTACGGGCCTCAAGTTTGTCGAGTTGCAAGCCTATGCTTCTATCTCTGAAGTTCACCCTTCTCACTTCAAATTAAATCATTAAAATCTTGTTTTTCATCATGTCTATGTATATATACAGCAAAGCCGTATATTGAAAATTTTATGCTTTATTAGGGGGGTTAATAATTGGAAAATTGACTTTATATGACTCATAGTAATCATATTTGGCATAAATATCTCTACAATTTCTCTTGGAGAAATAGCTTGAATGTTTTTTTCATATGAAATTATTCCTATTGTATTTACGGGCTGCCTATTGAAGTCCATTAAGAATGAAATTTGTTACAATAAGATTTAAACCAAGTTTGAACTATATGTTCTAAACCCTTCAAACAATGCTCCGACAACATAAAATACAATGTTTGAAAGAATTTTCAAATATTGTTCAAATAAATTTTAACCTATTCAATCAATGTTTGAGCATGATTATAATAAGATTTAAATATAATCTGTACAATTCATAACATGATAAGCTATAACTTTCATTATTAAATTGCAATCACAACAACTATAATATAGCAACTTGTAACTTTGGTACATTAGATTGCAAATTCGCAATCACAACAGTTACAACACAACCTAATATAAGTTTGTACGACAAAGTGCAATTTCAATGGCTGTTGCCCAATATAATATAAATTTAATCCAGTGGAGTGCAATTGCATGCCGTAGCACTGATTAATCTATATTTAACTTAATAAAGCACAATCAAAACAATTATAATCATGGTTTAAAATATCGATCAAGGTGCTCATCTTGAGGCATCGAAGGATAGTATCAAGGCTTAAGTCTCGAGCAGTAGGTGAGGCATACACCTTTTTAAAATGAGGCTTACATTTCAAGGCGTAACCGCCTCAAGACGTCTGAGGCATGGCTCATTTCTTATACTAATGTGATACTTTCCATCCACGTTCAACACAACAAAAGACCTACCATCTACGAACGACACAACGAACGAAACAAGAGTGTCATCCCGAGTGCAGCACTTCGTTGCTTTGAGCATCTATGAGCAAAACATGCACTTCGTCTATTCGATGAGGACATCATTCACTTCTCTCGTTTGACGCTATCCCGAACCTGTTTGACATCATCCCTATCCCATTCGAATATCATTCTGAGCCCATTTGAGTATCATTTTGAGCCCATCTACTTCGGCTTCATTTCTCAATCGAGCGTTTAAGTCTTGTCGCCCAAAGCGTTCCTGAAGCATTGATATCGAGTTTCTCTGTCGAGCTTCTCCATCATCTCTTCTTTGTAGACGGGTTACAATTTACGATTATATTCTCGTGAACTTCTGGTTAATATATATAAATATCATTGTCTCATATTGCTTTATAAATTTAGATTTATATTCTTGTATCAACAATTAAATTTATTAAATTATGAATTAAATTTTAAATGACTATAAATCTTATTTTTAGATTAAAAATTATGGTTTATTATATATTATGAATTATATTTAATTTTTGGGTTTTTAATTCTTCTATTTTGAGGCATGAGGCTTATGCTTTGATCTGCCTCAAAGCTTACGCCTCGCCTCATTAAGGCAAAACGCCTCAATTCTCGATTTTGCTTTTTAAAAGATTGATTATAATACAGCATAATATAAGTTTTCTTTATATATGACAATCACATTAGCTATATTACATCAAAATTAAGTATAAATTATTTATAAAATGAAATGAATAGATAATAAGAATTAAATTACATTGTGTATTTTCATTAAATGAATAGTTAAAAGGAATTTAATGTACACATTTGCTATGGACCAATTTTAATAATTCAATTTTTTCTTTGTATTTGCTGATGCATCTACATTGTTATAAAATAAATATACACAAGATCTATTTTTAGAATGGTATATAATCATGTGTAACTTTCATAAGATCTTTTTTGAAATTTAGGTAGATGCTTCGTATTATTGGATGCATCCTACAATCTTCACTGCAAATACGAGATAAAGCGCTCATCAGTTGATTCATGAGTGCTACATAAATGTTGTTAAAAATTTTGAATAACTTTTGATAATCTTGAAATCCTCATACTTCTTGATTCTTTACTTTCGAGGACAATTTTTAGGATAAAAGTTTTCGCATATGGTTTAATAACACTATGGCTCAAGCAATTCATGATACAAGTTAAATGAATTTGTTGTTGCCTATAAGGTCCGTGTTACAATGCTAGAGGGTTCATAGTAATACCGATAGAAGGGATATATACCGACAGAAGGGATATGGTTGCAGAATTCAACAAGAAAATAATAAAGAAAACAAGAAAATCAACAAAAAGAGAGAGAGAGAGAATGCAAAAAATAGAATAGCTAATGCAAAAATAGTTGGAAACAAAGTAAAATAGGAAGTAAATACATCGGAGAGACACTAATCAAATAAACGATACAAGATATGAGAGTTCCTACTCTCACAACCAATCGTGATACAAAAATCACCACCTGAAGGACCGACAAAAGAAAGAGATCAGGGATGTCACCACCAACAACGGAGGGATACAATTGCCACTACCTAACGTTGTGGATACAGACTTGTTCCCTTCCGAGAACCACGAAAGGGAGCAAAGGCTCTCACAACACTTAAACGAACAAAAACTTGTTCCCATCAGAAATGTCACCACCAAAACGAAGGGATACAATTGCCACCAACTAACGTCGTGGATATAGACGTGTTCCCATCCGAGAACCACAAAAGGGAGCAAAGGCTCTCACAACACTCAAACGAACAAAAACACGAACATTATTTATTTATAAGCACTAAGATTTCTCTTATTATATGTTTGCCATCCAAATTGAAAAAATACATAAATATAGAGAACTAAAATATAAAAACTAAACAAAAACTGAATTTCAATATAATGTGGACAACACTAGTATCGACGGTTTCACATCATTCTTCCGGATCAAGATTACGACACTCCGTGTCACATTCTCCTCGGGTGGGAGGAGCTCCTTCATCTCCATTGAATTGATCTCTTTTAAGTGATCCCATATGCAATACTTCTCTTGCAAGAAACTGTCAATAAGGACCCTCTTGATTTCTATCTACGTATGATGAGTTGGATTCTCTTTTGATCGTTTCTTGTTTTTCTTTATATCACATATTCCATCACTATTATCACCACCTAGTGGCTTTCTGGAACATGAACATAACCTATATCAATTTCAGGTTTTGGACACCTGAATTCCGAACAGGCAATAGAAACTTGTCTAGATGATAAAGGGGCTGCAAGAACCAATTTTTTTTCTTGTTTCAAACTGGTTATGAAATTTCAGTAACCTGAGTTATAAACTCCTTAGTCTCCAAGAAACAGTGGTATCACAGAGCCTTCATGCTAAATCTTGCTGTGCTAGTTATTCGCTCTAAGCATTGACTGGTTGAAGAGACCGCAACAAGAAATTTTTTGAAATTCCATGCCAATATTTTTCTGTTTTTCTGAAGGGCAACAATAAATTGTTGAAAATGTTTTTTTGAAGGTGAAAAGAAACTATTTTCTTGAACAGTCACATTGTAAATGATAAAGAAATTGTTGAAAATGAAGCAAAAATGTTTTGTTTTCTTGAAGGGCAGCAAGAAAAAAGAAACAATGCAGGGAGCAGAAGACCACGTACAGTTCAAAACAATAAAAAAAAATAAGAACCGCAGCATTGGGCACAATCTGGAGTGGAATTCTTTCCAACTGCAGCAAACAAAAATGCTGTAACCCCAAGAATTTTAGAATTTGCAAACAAAAATCTAGAATTGCTGGAAAACAAACAAAAGAAAGGCTAGGAAACTTTTGTTAATCAATCTTGGTGAGAATTATGTTAAAGAAGCCAAAGCTCTAATGCCAAAATGATAGCGGCAAAATGGTTGAGTGCAAAATTCAACCAAAAAAGGAGGAAAAAAAAAACAAAAAAAAAAAAAAAAAAAGAAAACAAGAGAAATCAACAAGAAAATATAGAGAAAATTTAAAGAATAGAAAATAAAAAAAATAGAAATCAAGGAAAATAGGAAAGGAAATTCAACAAAGAGACACTAATAAAATAATAGATACAAGGTGCAAGAATTTAATATTCTAGCAACTGATTGAGATTCAAAAATTATCACCCGAATGATTGATGAAGGAAGGAGACCTGGAATATCACAACTAACAACCGAGGGATATAATTGCCACCACTCAACGTTGTGGATACAGAATCGTTCCCATTCGGGAAGCATAAACGGGAGCAAAGCTCTTCACAAATCTCAAATGAAGCAAAAAAAAAACCCTCTACTATACACAAAACAACTCCTATTTATAAATACTACGGCTCCCTTATTACAAGTTTGTCATTCAAATAGAAAAACACAAAAACAGAGAACTAAAACATAGAAAGTGAGCTTGAACATAATGTGGACAACACTAGTACTGATGCTCCTGCATCGTGCTTCCAGATCAAGATCAAAACATTCCGTGTCAGATAGTCTTCAATCTCATGCTTTTTGAAGGTACTGTAATCACTCTCTCTCTCTCTCTCTCTCACACACACACACACACACACACACACACAATAAATTTTGTTATAGTTCATTGGCTAATATTTAAGATTTGTATTTTAGCCTAATGCCTCAAAACTTTTTTCCATTTCTAACATATATAATTATAACTTCATGCCACTTGAAAGATTCATTTCTCTTTAACTAATTATTTATAGAAATCATTGCTCTATGGTATTATTCAAATACTTCATTTAAGACAACAATACTTAATCCATAGGTTTTTGAGTAATGCCATTTCTGCCCCCTCATTGTTAACATAAATTATTTACGTTTAAAAAAGTTTTAAATTGGCTTTGGGCAACACAATACAATTATATGGTAAAAAATTATTGAATTAAAAGATTAATTGAATATTGACCTTACCATCTAGTCATGCCATGAGTGCATTTTATTGTAGAAATCACATTGTGCTTCCATCTCTCGCTTCAATCTCCCTCTCTTTAGAGTTAT